TATAAACTATATTACCAGCTTTACGTGTGTGTGTGTGTGTGTGTGTGTGTGTGTGTGTGGACAGCGTCTCACTCTGCCATCTGGGCTGGAGTGCAGTGGCACAATTCTAGCTCACTGCAGCCTCGAACTCCTGGGCCCACACAGTCCTCTTGCCTCAGTCTCTCAAGTAGCTAGGACAACAGGCACACACCACCACACGCAGCTAATTTTTATTTTTTCTAGAGACAGGGTCTTGCTATATTGTCCAGGTTAGTCTCAACTCCTGGCCTCAAGTGATCCTCCCACCTTGGCCTCCTAAAGTGCTAGGATTATGGGCATGAACCACCATGCCTGCTCTACTTTTTCTTCTTTTAATCCTGGGTATTTACCCAAAAGAAGTAAAGTCAGGATCTTGAAAAGCTTATCAGCATTCCTGTGTTCACTGCATCATTTTTCAACATGTGAAAAAAACCAAATGTCCATCAACAGATAAATGGGTAAACAAAATGTGATATGTACATACAATGGGATAGTAGTTAGCATTTAAAAAGACAGAAATCGTGCAATACACAATAATTAGGATGAACTTTGAGGACAGGTTGCTAAGTGAAATAAGCCAGTTACAGGATGACAAACACCACATGATTCTACTCATATGAAATATCTAAAACTGTGGAATTCCTAGGGCCAAAGGGTGGGTTAGTGGTTGCCAAGGTCCAGGAGAAGTAGGAAATGGGGAGTTATTAAAAACTGACATAAAGTTTTCACTGAATAAGATGGATACGTTCTAAAGATCTGCTGTACAGCAATTATTGTTGACAATAATATCGGACGCTTAAAAAGTTGCTAAGAGGATCGATCTCATATGTTCTTACTATAATCAAAACTTCTTTTAAGTTTTTAAAGTACATCAATTCTCATCTAACTATTAAATAGCTGGTTTTATTAGTGTTTACATTTAGTTATAAAAGTAAAATTAGAGAGTCCAAGGTAGGAGAATTGCTTGAGCCCAGGAGTTTGAGACCAGCCTGTTCAACATAATGACACCGCATCTCCATAAAAAAATAAGGAAAATTAACCAGGCTTGGTGATGTTCAACATAATGACACCGCATCTCCATAAAAAGATAAGGAAAATTAACCAGGCTTGGTGATGTTCAACATAATGACACCGCATCTCCATAAAAAGATAAGGAAAATTAACCAGGCTTGGTGATGTTCAACATAATGACACCGCATCTCCATAAAAAGATAAGGAAAATTAACCAGGCTTGGTGATGTTCAACATAATGACACCGCATCTCCATAAAAAGATAAGGAAAATTAACCAGGCTTGGTGATGTTCAACATAATGACACCGCATCTCCATAAAAAGATAAGGAAAATTAACCAGGCTTGGTGATGTTCAACATAATGACACCGCATCTCCATAAAAAGATAAGGAAAATTAACCAGGCTTGGTGATGTTCAACATAATGACACCGCATCTCCATAAAAAGATAAGGAAAATTAACCAGGCTTGGTGATGTTCAACATAATGACACCGCATCTCCATAAAAGATAAGGAAAATTAACCAGGCTTGGTGATGTTCAACATAATGACACCGCATCTCCATAAAAAGATAAGGAAAATTAACCAGGCTTGGTGATGTTCAACATAATGACACCGCATCTCCATAAAAAGATAAGGAAAATTAACCAGGTTGGTGATGTTCAACATAATGACACCGCATCTCCATAAAAAGATAAGGAAAATTAACCAGGCTTGGTGATGTTCAACATAATGACACCGCATCTCCATAAAAAGATAAGGAAAATTAACCAGGCTTGGTGATGTTCAACATAATGACACCGCATCTCCATAAAAAGATAAGGAAAATTAACCAGGTTGGTGATGTTCAACATAATGACACCGCATCTCCATAAAAAGATAAGGAAAATTAACCAGGCTTGGTGATGTTCAACATAATGACACCGCATCTCCATAAAAAGATAAGGAAAATTAACCAGGCTTGGTGATGTTCAACATAATGACACCGCATCTCCATAAAAAGATAAGGAAAATTAACCAGGCTTGGTGATGTTCAACATAATGACACCGCATCTCCATAAAAAGATAAGGAAAATTAACCAGGCTTGGTGATGGTGTTGGCCTCTAGTCCCGGCTATTCAGGAGGCTGGAGCAGGTCTTGAGTTTAAAAGGTGGAAGTTGCAGTGAGCTGAAACGGTACCACTGCACTTCAGCCGGGGCAACAGAACAAGACTCCATCTCAAAAAAAAAAAAAAAAAAGAGTAAAATTAGCAGCTGGATACTGTGGCTTTCATCTGTAGTTCCAGCTACTTGGGAAGCTAAGGTGGGCAGATCAGGCTGACGTGTGCACACAGCTGTGAATAGCCACTGAGCTCCAGCTTGGACAACACAGAGAGACCCCCAGTGTGTCATCTGGTCATGCTGAGTTTTTATACCCAGCACGATGCACTTTGATAGGATTTGGAATGTGGGAGAAGGAAGGCTTTTCTTGGTGAAAAGGGAAGCCTTGGTCTGAGGCATGTTCTTAGAGGACTCATGGACATTGAGGACCTGGTAACTGATGCTAAATAATCAGGGCCTATTTATCTCTTCCTCGAGGGGAAGGTATACCCCACTTTGGAAACTGAGGGCATAGACAGTATATGGTAGAATTAGGGTTCCAGAATTGCAAAGATGGCAGTTTGAATCTTAAATTCTGATACATGTTGCCAGTGTGATGTTGTTCAATTCACATTATCTTGTTAAATCTAGTTCCTTCTTTTATAACATAGGGATAATAAATACATCTGACACTGCGTGTCGTTGTACTAAAATAAGTACGTAAAGCTGAAAAGCAAAGGGTCTGGAACGTACTAAGCAAGTGGTGGCTAATTTTACGTATCAGCTTGGCTGGGTAAGGGATGCTCAGACAGCAGGTAGAACATTCTTTCTGGTTGTGTCTGTGAGGGTGTTTCCGGAAGAGATTAGCATTTGAAGCATTAGACTGAATAACAAAGTTCTGCCCTCACCAATGTGGACAGCACCATCCACTCCTTTGAAGACCTGGATAAAACAAAGAGGAGGAGGAAGGGTGAATTCCTTCTTTCTTCTTGAGCTGGGACATCCATCCTCTTCTGCCCTTGGACACTAAAGTTCTGGTTCTCAGATCTTTGGACTCTGGGGTCTATACCAGCAGGCTTCCTGGTGTTCTCAGGTTTTGGGACTAAGATTGAATCAGACCATCAGCTTTCCTGGGTCCCCAGCTCATGGACCACATATTGTGGGAATTCTCTGGCTCCATACTGCTGTGATCCGATTCCTGTAGCCAGTTCCCAGTTCTCCTCTTATGTATCCATATTGGTTCTATACCACATATCCTGTTGGTTCTATTTTTCTGGAAACCTTAAGCACCCCACAAAAGTTTTCTTGTTCTCTCCCTCTCTCCTCTTTTTCTCTCTCTCCTACATGTCAGGCCTTCTTTGAAGCATTTTGTATGGATTATTTTATACAGTCTCCCAGCAACTCTTTGAAGAATGGATTTTATTATTCTCATTTTCAGAATGAAGGAATTGAAGCCCTGAGAAGGCTGAGGCGCAAAGTTAATAGGTGGAGAAGATGCCTTCAAAGCCACGCAGCCTGACCCCAGGGCCTGCCCTCTTCGTCTTGACCCATCATGGTTGGTGGCACAAGAAAGTCCAATTCTCTTCCAGTGCTTAAAGCACACACTTCTTGGCCAGTTCTCTAAAGAAAGCAAAACCTTCAGAAATAGGCATGTTCCATGAACTTTCTTCTAAAATTTGTTCAACCAATCTTTGTTCCCCTGAAGGTTTACCACCCAGCAGCTCCTGAAAAAAAGGCTTAGTTAGTTGTCCAGATTCTATAAAGTGAGTTCTACAAAGCTAGCTGGGGATGTTGTCATAATGTGAGATTGTTTGCCATATCTTCAGGATTGTCAGACAATGTTTCTTTTGCTTTGCATGCTGGTGAAGCACAGACTTGCCCTGACTCTCCGTCCTAGATAGCCTTGCCCTGTCCAGGCTTGAAATGGTCTAAGGTAGCCTCCTTGCCTCCTGCTGAGGTCTCTGAGGTTGAATTTCCTTATTGGGCATTACTGAAATCTTTGGTTAAATCAATCCTGTGTTAGGCCCCTGAGGCACTGGGCGGGGCTCAGCAACTTGTTACAATGTTTGTTTTAATTAGATTCTGGCAATTGCAGTATAGATGTCCTGGGGCTGCCATTGTCTGCCACTCAGGGAACTTGGGGCTCTTTGCAGGGATCCTGTGGGCATTAGGGAGGGGTGAAGAGGGGATGCCGTTATGTTTCAAAGTATTGAGGAGCCAGTGGAAAAACCAGGTCTTTGACTATGTCTGATTAGCCAAGGACACGGCCACAGTGTGGTAACTGGATGCCCAGGTCCGGATTCTGGGTTACAGTCCGGTACATCTGGCAACATTATGGCATGACTCTGTGGCAGCTTATTTTGAGCGTCACGGCTATTACCCAGAGTCAGGAGTAATGTCTTTCATTCTGAGACATCTAAACCCCCAACCACAGGCATGTTTCCTTCCAGGGCAGAGGGCAAATGCAATTACATCTGTGACCAATTTGCACAGCTGGGAGCTCAGCCTCCTGACAGCAACATTTATTTGAGATTCAAATCTCTAGGGAGCTGGGTCACCAGACAGGAAGTAAGGTCCAGCAAGCATATGTTGTCTACTATGTGAATGCTTGTTAGGCTGGGCCAGGAGAACAAAACCAAATAACACAAAATGTCAACTTAAGCTTTTAGAAGCAAAAAGTGAGCCTTCTCTGTCTACAAACCAGGTTTTTCAGGGCATAGAGGAAAATAAGAATATCCAAATAAGACAGTTGCCATTGACCCCAGTAAAAACATAGCATGCACATGGCACATGGAACTCATGGAAGGGGCGGCTGCCTGGGAGGCAAAGCCCTGGTTTCCAGTTCTGGTTCTACCACTGTGAACTGTGGCATCCTGATCAAGTCACTTCGCTCAGGCTTTTTATTTGTTGTAGCATTTTTGTGTCATCCTTGGCCAGGGGCCATGCTAATCTTCTCTGTATCATTCTGAGGTTAGTATCTGTGCTGTTGAAACAAGCACTTCCCCCGCCCCCCCCCGCCCCCCCCCCCCCCCCCCCCCCCCCGCCCCGAGACAGGGTCTCACTCTGTCACCCAGGCTGGAGTGCTGTTGTGTGATCACAGCTCACTCCAGCCTTGACTTCCCAGGCTCAAGTGATCCTTCCACCAGCTCCTCAGTAGCTAGACCTACAGACCTCTTCCAGAGCTGGAAGATAAAGAAAAACACCACAAAAGCATTGAATAGACAAATCCAGAGCCCAGCCTAGTGACTCTGTTAGTATTTTACTCACAGGACAATGTCTCTGGATTTTATTTGTTTATTTTTGTCTCCCAACAGCTTTATGGAGACATATTCACATACCATACAATTCACCAATTTAGAATGTACAAGTCAATGGCTTTTATATATTCACGGAGTTGTGCAGCCATCATCACAACCAATTTTAAGACACTGTTCTAACCCAAAAAAGAAACCTTCAAGGCTCCTTACTTCTTAGCCATCACTCCTCAAGGCGCCCCCCACCCCATTCCCTTCAACCTTAGGCAACCGATGATCTACTCTCTGTTTCTACAGATTTGCCTTCTTTGGACATTTCTTATAAATGGAATAATACAACATGGTGTCTTTAGCAACTGGTTTCCTTCACTTAGCATACTCTTTTCGAAGTTCATCCATACCATAATATGCGTCAGTACTTCATTTCTTTTTACTTCCAAAAAGTATGCCATTATATGGAAATCCCATCCTGTGTTTATTCATTTGTCCATTGATGGACATTCGGGCTGTTCCTACCTTTTAGCTATTATGAACAATATTCTGTGAACAATGGTGGACAAGTTTATGTGTGAACATATATTTCCATTTCTTTTTTTTTTTTTTTTGAGGCGGAGTTTCGCTCTTGTTACCCAGGCTGGAGTGCAATGGCACGATCTCGGCTCACCGCAACCTCCACCTCCTGGGTTCAGGCAATTCTCCTGCCTCAGCCTCCTAAGTAGCTGGGATTACAGGCATGCACCACCGTGCCCGGCTAATTTTTTGTATTTTTAGTACAGATGGGGTTTCACCATGTTGACTAGGATGATCTCAGTCTCTTGACCTCGTGATCCACCCACCTCGGCCTCCCAAAGTGCTGGGATTACAGGCGTGAGCCACAGCGCCCAGCCATATTTCCATTTCTTTTCGGTATATAACTAAGAGTAGATTTGCTGGCTCATATAATAACTTTGTGTTTAACCTTTTGTGTAACTGCCAGACTGCTTTCCAAGGCAGCTGCATCACTTTTTTATTTAAAAAAATTGTTTTTATTTTAGATTCAGGGAGGACATGTGCAGATCTGTTACATGTATATATTGCATGATGCTAATTTGGGTTTCTACAGAATCCATCACCCAAATACTAAACATAGTACCCAACAGGTAGTTTTCAACTCTTGCCTCCCATCCCTATTCACCATTTTGGATGCCCAGTGCCTACTGTTCCCATCTTTATGCCCCTGTAGCCCCAATGTTTCTCACTTATAAGTGAGAAACATTCACTTCAACTACATTCATGTTGCTGCAAAGGACATGACCTCATTCCTTTTATGGCTATATAGTATTCCATGGAGTTGCACCATTATATATTCCAACAAGCAGTGTATGAGAGTTCTGATTTTTCCACTTCCTTGTGAATACTTCTTATTTTCTGGTTTGTAAAAATTTTATCCATTCTAATGGGTGTGAGATGCTATTTAATTGTGGTTTTGATTTGTATTCCCTGATGACTAATGATGTGGAGCATGTTTTCATGCAGTTATTGGATATGCATTTACCCTCCTTAGAGGAACATCTATTCAGATCTTTGCCCATTTTTTCTTAGTTATTTGGTTTTTTGGTATTGAGTGGTAATAGTTCATTATATATTCAAGACACAAGTTCTTTATCAGTTATGCTATTTGCACATTTTTTCTCTCATTCATTGTAGGCTTGTCTCTTCATTTTCTTGATGGTGTCTTTGGAAGGACAAAAGATTTTTAGCTGACTTGTGCACAGCTTATCTGTTTTTTCTTAAATTGCTCATGCTTTTGGTGTCATATCCAAGGAACCACTGTCAAATTCCAGGTCATGAAAATTTACACCCATGTTTTCTTCTAAGAGTTCTATAGGTTTAACTCTTAGAATTAAAAGGTTTCCATCTTTTCTCTATTCTGAATTTGTATACAGTGTGAGATAGGGGTCCAACTTCTTTTTTTTTTTTTAACATGTGTATATCCAGTTGTCCCAGAATCAATCATTGACAAGACTATTCTTTCTCCACTAAATGGTCTTGGCACTCTTGTTGAAAGTCAATTAACTATAAATGTGAAAGTTTATTTCTTGACTTTCAATTCTACTCCATTGATCTACGTGTTTACCCTATGCCAGTGCCACACTGTCTTGATTACTATGGCTTTGTACACATGTTGAAGTTAGGGGAAGTGTGACTCCTCCAATTTTGTTCTCTGTTCAAGATTTTTTCCTGGGTTTCTTGAATTTTCATATAATTTTACAATTAACTTGCCAATTTCTGCAAAGAAATCAGCTGGAATTTTGATAATTGCAATGAATCTATTGATTAGCTTGAGGGGGGGTATTGCCATTTTAACAACATTAAGTCTTTTTTTTCCTTTTTAATTGAGATGGAGTCTTGCTCTGTCACCCAGGCTGGAGTGCAGTGGCATGATCTTGGCTCACTGCAACCTCTGCCTCCTGGGTTCAAGCCATGCTCCTGCCTCAGCCTTTTGAGTAGCTGGGATTACAGGCGCCTGCCACCACAACCAGCTAACTTTTTGTATTTTTAGTAGAGACAAGGTTTCACCATGTTGGCCAGGCTGGTCTTGAACTTCTGATCCAAGGTGATCCACCCTCCTTGGCCTCCCAAAGTGCTGGGATTACAGGTGTGAGCCACCGCGCCCAGCCCAACATTAAGTCTTTTGATTCATGAACATGGGATGTTGGTCCTTTTTTTAGGTCTTAATTTCTTTCAACGGTGTTTCGTAGTTTTCAGAACATAGGTTTTTATACTTTTTCATTAAATTTATTTCTAAGTATTTTATTCTTTTTAATGTTATTATAAATGAAATTATTTTCTTAGTTTTATTTTTGGTTTGCTCATTGCTACTGCAGAGAAAACACTGTTTTCTGTCACCCAGGCTGGAGTGCAGTGGCACAATCTCAGCTCACTGCAACCTCCGCCTCCCAGGTTCAAGCAATTCTCCTGCCTCAGCCTCCCGAGTAGCTGGGATTACAGGTGCATTACAGGTGCATGACTCCAGCTAATTTTTGTATTTTTAGTAGAGACAGGGTTTCACTATGTTGACCAGGATGGTCTCGAACTCCTGACCTCGTGATCTGCCCGCCTCAGCCTCCCAAAGTGCTGGGATTACAGGCATAAACCACTGCGCCTGGCCTGTGTATTGATCTTTTATCCTAAAACCTTGCTTAAAAATGTATTCATTTGAGCAGATTTTAAATGAATTCCTTAGGTTTTATTTTTTCCTGTTATTTTTTTCTTTTTTAAATGAGATGGGGGTCTTGTTATGTTGTCCAGGCTGGTCTTGAACTCCTGGGCTCAGGTGATCCACCCAAGCTGGGATTACAGTATAGTGAGTCACCTCACCTCACCCCCTTTAAGCTTTTTTAATATCCAAGATTATGTCATTTGAAAGTAAAGACAGTTTAACTTCTTCCTTTCCGATACGGATTCCTTTTTATTTTATTCTTGCATAATTGCCCTGGGGAAGGCCCAGATTTTTCTCTCAGCTGTCTAAGGAACTGAAATTCTGTTATCTGCCCTGACTGAAGGGCAGAAGTACTGAATTAGGTACTCCAGCTTCTTTAACCAGGCATTTGATGCTTAATATTCAGCCCCAATGAGCATCGAGAGTAACATGCTACCCCATGTGTATTTCCACAGAGCAATACAGCTCTTAGGCACTGGGGATGAATCAGGAGTGTGCTTGAGTAGGTCACAGCTCTGTTTCCAGATGGAGTGTTAGGATGCCAGGAAAGGATGAGAAGGAGCAGAGCTTTGGACGTAGAATCTTTTTTGCCAGGGTGAATATCTTTCACGGCCTCTGAACAAGGAAACTGGGGAATCACGAAGCTATGACCTGGACAGGCCATCCAGCTCCCTCCACCCTCCACACTGCCCACTGCAGAGAGAGACAGAAATGGAGAGAAAGTCACCAGTTTTTCAGTCTACCAATGAAGTAAGCTGTTTTCTTTTCAGACTTGGAGTGAGCAAATTCTGTAAGTACCCTAATTAATGAGGAAAGCTCTGAGTCGGGCATGTTTTCTTGGTGCTTTCAAACACTCTGTGCCTCTAGCCCTTCTTTGACCAGCCTAGATGGGGAAGACATCCAACCTGACTTCTGAGTTTGTACATATTTGCGATGGCTATTTGCTGTCAGGTGGAAACAGCTGCGGGAGCAACGTCAAAGCACCCATGACTTCAGAAACAAGAGGAAATAAACATCTTGGTTTGTGGGCAAACTGTGCAGAGCAGGCTTTGTGTGGGAGCCCCCTAAAGGTAGAAGAACTATTCAAAGGTTGCCAGAGCCCGAGAATAAACTGGCCCTGACGAGACTTGTGGACACGATCCAGTTCCTAGCAAAATCCATGCCCAGCCTCCCTGAAGTGCACCATTGAGAAAACGGCTTGAAAATAGGTTGAATGACATGAGGAGCAACATCGGCAGAATGGCTTTAATGAGCCAAAAAATGTGGTTTCAAATGCCCCTGTCTCCGAGTGCCACTGCCTGCCTTTGCCAGCACATATAAAATTTGTTCACTGGAGCAAACGTAGAGACGTGAAGTGGGCTCATGCAAATTCCAGGCCAGCATGTCGTATTTGTATTCAAGTCCAGAAAATTCACTCCACGTGAGGAAAGATAAGTCTGAGCTGAAGGGGAACTGTTTGTGGTCTTGAATGCAGGGCGGGACTGAGGGCGTTGCAGGCAGAAGGAAGTCTCCTCTTGCATCTCCAGCAGGGAGAGTTTATGGC